ATAATCCAGGAAATTGTAGAGTGGCGAATCTTACATCAGTGGTATAGAAATTAATGGGGAAGATTCTTCGGGACAGGGTTTACTTGTATTTGGAAACAAATGGAATTATTAGGAATAGTCAGCATGGCTTTGTATAGGGGAGGACTTGTGTGACAAATTTGATTCAGTATTTTGAGGAAGTGAAGGTGATTGAGGGTAGAGCAGTGGATGTTGTTTCCATGGACTTTACTGAAGTATTTGACAAGGTCTGTCACAGTAGGTTGGACAAGAAGATGAGGTCACGTGGGATCCACAGTGATTTGGTAAGTTAGATACAAAATTGGTTTGGTCGTAGTAAACAGAGGGTTTTTGTGGAGGACTGTTTCTCTGATGGAGATATATGACCAGTGGTGTTTTGTAAGCATCGGTGCTGGGGCCTCTGTTGTTTTTGTAATAAATACAAATGATTTGGATGAAAATGTAGGTAGTCTGATTAGTAAGTTTGCAGGGGACATGAAAACTGGAGGATTGTGGATAACGAAGAAGGTTATCAAAGGATACAACAGGATATAGATCAGTTGGGAAGTGAAATGGCAGATGGAGTTTAGGTGATGCATTTTGGGAGGTCAAATGCAAGAGGAAAGTGTACAGTAAATGGCAGGACCTTTAGGAGCACTGGCATACAGAGGGATCGTTGCGTGTAAGTGTATAGTTCCTGAAAATGGCAATACAAGTGGATAAAATGGTAAAGAAAGTATACGGCATGCTTCATCAGTTAGAGCATTGAGTATAACAGTTGGCAAGTCATTTTACAGGTGTCTAAAACTTTATATAGGCCATGTTTGGAGTATTGGGTACAGTTCTGGTCACCACACCACAGCAAGGATGTGGAAGCTTGCAAAGAGGTTTACCAGGATGTTGCCTGGATTGGAGTGTATTAGCTATAAGGAGAGGTTGGACGAACTTGGATTGCTTTAGCTAGAGGCTGAGGGGGGACCTGATAGAAGTCTGTAAAATTATGAGACGCAAGCTTAGGGTGAATAGTCGGAGTCATTTTTTTTCCCTCGGGTAGAAATGTCAAATGTTGAGGACATAGGTTTGAGGGAGAAAGTTTAAGGGAAATGTGTCAGGCAAGAGGTTTACACACAGGGTGGTAGGTGCCTGGGACTCGCTGCCTGGAGAGGTGCGAGAAGCAGATATGATGGCAAAGTTTAAGAGGCATTTCGGCAGACACATGAACAGGCAGAAAACAGAGGGATATGGATCATGTGCAGGGGAATGGCATTGGTCTAGAATGGCATCATCGTCAGCATAGACATGGTGGGCCAAAGGGCATGTTCCTGTGCTGTATTGCAATTTAATGCGAGATCCTTATTTTGAAACTGCACTCCTTAACTCTAGTTTCCTCCAAGAAGGGGAGACATCTTCTCAGCTCCATCTACTCAAGTCCCAACAGGTGATCTGATTGAAACATAAGATCCAATCATTATTAATTCCAATGGATTTTAAAAAAAATCACAGAATTGTTATGGTGCAGAAGGAGGCCATTGACCTATTGTGCCCACATTGGAAGCATCATTACCCAGTGCCAATCTCCCACCTTTCTCTTGCATGCTATTTCGATCGGAATGACCATCCAATGCCCTCTTGAATGCCTCAATTGAGCCTGCCTCCACTACATTTCCAGGCAGTGCATTCCAGACAGGGCCAGCCTGTCTAACCTTTTCTTATCAGGATGTGCTCTACCATCCCAGGAGTCAGCCTCATGATCCTTCTTTCCTTAGTCAGGAGGCCAGAACTCTGCACAGTGCTGTTAGTGTGAGCTCTCCTGTCCCACTGCAGTAAAATCGATTCTACTCCTTTGTGAATGATAAATTTCATTTTCCTTCCTAATGACTTGCTGTGTTTGTGTGCCAACTTTTTGTGATAGTGTACTAGAACTCTCCAGATCCGTCTGGACTGCAACATTCTGCGTTCTGTCTCAATTTAAATGCTATTCTGCTCTTCTCTTCCTCCTGCCAAAGTGGACACATTATACTTCATCAATAAATGTCTTTGCCAACTTACTGAACTTTTACAAAATTTTTGCGTCCTCCTCACCACTTATTTTCCCACAATGTTGTGCCGAACTTTTACCCTAAACCTAAGGTCTATCTAACCTCCACCCCTACCTTATACTATCATCAATATGCCTATCTAATAGCCGCTTAAATGCCCCTAATGAGGCCGACTCCACTACCCTCTCCGGCAATGCATTCCACGCCCCTACCACTCTCTGAGTAAAGAACCTACCTCTGACGTCTCCCCTACATCTACCTCCACTCATTTTAAAACTATGCCCCCTCGTAAAAGCTGCCTCCACCCTAGGAAAAAGTCTCTGGCTCTCCATTCTACCTATACCTCTGATCATTTTGTACACCTCAAATCCATTTATCCTGGTGGTGGGGGAAATAAAACTGGGAGGGGGAAGCGGAGCAGATTGGCTGAGAGCTGAGCACCTAGTCCAGCACCTAATGCTTGCTGCAGAGTTCAGGAAAAAAGTGGTAATAAGTGAAGAAAATAACAGTGCATTAGTGACAGTTAGTGAAAGAACGTTCTGGAGTCTTGTTGCTTGAGTCCATTAAGTGAAATGTTTCCTTTCTTTCCTGACTGCGGGCTTTGTTGCTCTGATTCATTGATCACATCTAGGCTTGGTCCTGACAGAGCACTGCATCTGCAGTAGGCTGCTGATACAACAGCTTAGCACTCTGCTCAAACTGGACTCTGTCCAGCTTCTTGAGATTAAGTGCACCGCATCGTTCAGCTATTTAGCACACGGGCAAGATTTTTCTAAACTGTATCAGCAGGTCTCACAAGGCTGATTTATTCAGGATGTTGAAGGTGTTTCAAGTGGGAACGAGCAAGAGTCATTCGCCAGTTTATTGTAAACGCAGTTTTCACTCGCCTCCTCAGTTTAAACTCCCAGCCTGAATTGTTCAAATAGGAGTTGCAACCTGCAGTTTGAATACAGCAACCTTGGGATCTAGCAATGACAAGTTTCCATTTACTCCACTCTGCTAAATCCAAATGGATCCAACCCTTTGCCATGTCATTTCATAGAAGTTTAGCAGAGCAAAAGGAGACCTTTCGGCCCATTAAGCTTGTACCTCCTTAAAAGAGCTCCCCAATTAGCCTGACACCCCTTCTCTTTCCCCATTGCCCTGCGGATGTCTCCCTTTGAAAGATTTACCCAGTTTTCTTTTGGAAGCTATTACTGCCATGGTGATCTTTAAGACGACCTATTCTCTACCTAGCCACCCTTTTACTCTTAATGTAGCTATAGGACCTCTTGGGATTATCTTTAACCTTACCTGCCGGATCCATCCCGTACCACCTTTTTGCTCTCCTGATTTCCCTCTTAAATGTGCTCCTACACTTTCTATTGTCATCTAGGGATTCACTTGAGTCCAATAGCTCAAACCCAATGTATGCCACTGCCTTTTTCTTGACCAGTATCCCTCGTCAGCCAGGGATCCCTAAACCTGCCAGCTTTTCCCTTCACCCTAACAGGGACACGCTGACCCTGGACTCTTGATATCGCACTTTTAAAAGCCTCCCATTTGTCAGTCATTCCTTTTCCTTCAAATGGACTCACCCAATCGATTGCTGATAGATCCTGCCTAGTGGCCCCAAAATTGGCCCCGCTCCAGTTTTGCACCTTAACCTGTGGACCCATCCTATCTTTTTCCATAACTATGTTAAAACTAAGAGAGTTATGGTTGCTGGAACCAAAGCGCTCTCCGACTAACGCTTCAGTCATTTGTCCGACCTCGCTTCCTAAGAGATGGTCCAGTGTTGCACCCTCCCGAGTAGGGCCCTCTACATATTGATTTAGGAAACTTTCTTGGACACATTTGACAAATTCCATCCCATCCGGGCCTTTTACACGCTGTTCACTGGCAGGAAGATTGGGAATCAGTTTTGCCTTACTTATATTCCTAAATCTGAACATCTTCTGCCCGACTTACTGGAGGCAGCAAACCCAGCCTCTCCACTTTGCTTAAATTGCTGAAGCCCCTCAGCTGTAAACATTCTCATCAATCCCCTCTGCTCCAAGGCCTTGACACGCTTCCAAAATTATACACAATACTCTGGTTGAGTATTGATGATTTAGAAATGTTAGTCAAAGCTTCCCTGCTTGTGTACTCTTTCCTTCTATTAGTGAAGCCAGGGACCCCCATATGTCTTTTGGACAGATGTCTTCATCTATCTGACAGCTTCAAAGATTTTATGTACATCCACTCCCAGGGATCTCGATGCAGCAAACCCCTTCCCAGTAATTCCCATTGTAGACTCCAGATGAAGGAGGCCATTTAGCTCATCATGTCTGCGCTAGTCAACAATGATCTATCTGCAGTAATTCGATTTTCAAGATTTTGTTCCATATTCCTGTGGAATTCCCTGGCCAGTGAAACAGTTGAGGCTACCTCGTTGAATGTTTTTAAGGCAAAGTTGATGTTTGAACAGTAAGTGGAGCTGAGTCCATGAAAAGATCAGCCATGATCTTATTGAATGGTGGAGCAGGCTCGAGGGGCCAGATGACCTACTCCTGCTCCTGTTTCTTATGTTCTTAAGTCCTGGAGGCTATGGTAACCCAAGTGAGTGCCTAAATACTGCTGAATGTTTCAAAAGTTTCGGACTCAAACACCCTTTTGGGCTGTAAGTTCCAGACTGTCACTACTCTCCAGGTGAAAAATATACCCTTCGACTCCCCTCTTGGCTTTGTATCCCTTACCTTATATCTATGTCCTCTGGTTCCTGACCCTTCTACTAATGGAAAAGTATTGTCTTCCTATGCAACCTATCTGTGGCCCCCAATCTTACACACCTATTTCAGCTCCCCTCTCAATGTTTGCTGCTCCAAGGAAAACAACTGAAACCTGTCTAATCTTTCCTCATTGCTCAGACCCTCCAGCACAGGCAGCATCCTGGTAAATCTCCTCTGCATCCTTTCCAGTGCTATCACATCTTGTTAGAACGTGGTACTCACTTTGACAGCACATTTACTGGCTTTGGAACAATACAGAGATATTTAGCACAGCTCCTATGCAAGGATTACATGTAAACTTGGGAAAAGTTCCATAATTTTTAAGTAAGCTTAAAGCTGGATGACTGCTTTGCAATGCAGAGTGATGGCTACAGGTTTCTGTTCCTGTACTAGCTGAAGTTAGCATGAAGGGCGTTCCTTCTCAAACTCTCCCCTTGTCTGAGACATAGTGACCCTCAGGTTAAACCACCACTAATTTGCTGTCTTGTTAGAGACATCCCATGGACTGGTGGGACTGTGACAACTTTATCTTTTAGAATGTGTTGACCAGACTGCACACAATACTCCAGTTGTAGCCTAAACAGCAATTTATACAACATCTTATTGTGTAGAATTTCAATGAAGTGAACCCCTTCCAAATTACTCCCACTCTGAAATCCCAATGGATCAATTTTTTTTCCATTCAGTCACATGGAACAAATTTAAGTGCACAGCATTTGAGTTCTCTCTCAGTAACACAATGCTGAAAGTACAGTCTCTAATGGTGTTTTGAACTCTGCCTGATTGATGCACTGAGCGGCCATCGACAATAGATGTAGATTGCTTCTTCACTTTGTACAATCAGTCAGACTCCTAAAGCAAGCATAACATTTTGCTGGCCAGCGAGCTATTTATCCTGGTTAAACAGCCCATCATTTAGTGCTGTGTCATTGCTTTATTTTTAATATAAATGCACAGTCACTAGGGCTTCTGATTGCTGAGCTTGTGAAGGAGATAATGGTGGGGGAGAAGGAGAGAGAGAGAGAGAGAGAGATGGTTTTTCTGTCTTTGGCAATAGCACGTCCAATATTTGAAGAAACTTTATACAGCATTTTTGTGTAGATGCGATTTGGAAATCAATTGTTTCCTGAAATTATAGCTTGGCTAAATGTTGTTTGTCTCCAAGGAGAACAATATACTCAAGGATTTTAACAAGGACAAATGAGAAGACACTACTACGGATGGGATAGAATTAAGTGTACTTACATTCTGGGGGAAGTTTCAAGTTCTGATTTAAAGTGCAGTACTTTGTAAGATGTGGTGACCTGTCAACACAGCAAATTAGGATGATCTGGAATGCACTGGCTTTTAGGATGGTGGAAGCAAGTTTATTAACATTATTCCGAAAGGAAATTAGACAACGCTTGAAGAGGAAATGTTGCAGAGCAGGGAGAGTAAGACTAACTGTATAAAAAATGAAAGAACTGTGGATGCTGTAAATCGGAGACAAAAATAGAAGTTGTTAGAAAAGCTCAGCAGGTCTGGCAGCATCTGTGGAGAGAAACCAGAGTTAACAACCCCAAAGGTCAACATGACCTTTCCTCAGAACTGATCGTAGCTGGGAAAATGTCGGTTTATATGCAGAAGATAGGGTGGGGGGGTGGGAATAAGGAGTAAACAGTAGGCAGGGATAGAGCCCAAAGAGGGAGAACAGTTAGACAGACAAAGGAATTGATAACGATCTGGCTAGGAGAGTGAATATTAATATTAATGAAGACTGTTAGTGGCCAGCAATAGGTTGTGTGTAATAGCAGACTGTGATAATAAGGCCTGGAGTAAGAGGGGGCAGTGGGGATAGAGGCCATGCAAACAAGGAAGAACAGTAAGCCACTCACCCCTTTGAGCCTGCTCTGCTATTCAACAAGATCACAGCTGATCTGATTTTAACCTCAACTCTCCATTCCTGCATTTCCCTGATAATCTTTTACCCCCTTAGTCACCAAGAATCTATCAACCTCTGGACCTCTCTGTCTCCATCTCTGGCAGCCATCGAGAAACCGATATCCATTTCAAGCCCACCGACTGCCGCAGCTACCGAGAATACACCTCCTCCCACCCACCTTCCTGCAAAAAGGCCATCCCCTATTCCCAATTCCTTCGCCTCCACCGCATCTGCTCCCAGGATGAGGCATTCCACTCCTGTACATCTCAGATGTCCTTGTTTTTCAAGGACTCCGACCCCCCCCCCCCCCCCAAAGTGGTCGAGAACGCCCTCAACCGTGTCTCCCGCATTTCCCGCAACTCATCCCTCGCACCCCCTCCCCGCAATAACAACCAAAACAGAATCCCCCTCGTCCTCACGTACCACCCCACCAACCTCCGGATCCAACGCATCATCCTCCGACACTTCCGCCATCTGCAATCCAACCCCACCACCAAAGACATTTTTCCCTCCCCACCCTTATCTGCTTTCCGGAGGGACCACTCTCTCCGTGACTCCCTTGTCCACTCCACACTCCCCTCCAGCCCCATCACACCCGGCACTTTTCCCTGCAACTGCAGGAAGTGCTACACCTGCCCCTACACCTCCCACCTCACCCCAATCCCAGGCCCCAAGAAGACTTTCCATATCAAGCAGATGTTCACCTGCACATCTGCTAATGTGGTATACTGCATCCGCTGTTCCCGTTGTGGCCTCCTCTACAGCGGGGAAACCAAGCGGAGGCTTGGGGACTGCTTTGCAGAACACCTAAGTTCGGTTCGCAATAAACAACTGCACCTCCCAGTCGCGAACCATTTCAACTCCCCTTCCCATTCCTCAGACGACATGTCCATGCTGGGCCTCCTGCAGTGCCACAACGATGCCACCCGAAGGTTGCAGGAACAGCAACTCATATTCCGCTTGGGAACCCTGCAGCCCAATAGTATCAGTGTGGACTTCACAAGCTTTAAAATCTCCCCTCCCCCTACCGCATCGCAAAACCAGCCCAGCTCGTCCCCGCCTCCCTAACCTGTCCTCCCTCCCACCTATCCCTTAGTCCCACCTCAAGCCCCACCCCCCATCTCCTACCTACTAACCTCATCCCGCCCCCTTGACCTGTCCATCCTCCCTGGACTGACCTATCTCCTCCCTAACTGCCCACCTACACTCACCTTTACTGGCTCCATCCCCGCCTCTTTGACCTGTCTGTCTCCTCTCCACCTATCTTCTCCTCTATCCATCTTCTATCTGCCTCCCCCTCTCTCCCTATTTATTTCAGAACCTCCTTCCCCTCCCCCATTTCTGAAGAAGGGTCTAGGCCCGAAACGTCAGCCTTCCTGCTCCTCTGATGCTGCTTGGCCTGCTGTGTTCATCCAGCTCTACACCTTGTTATCTCACATTACAGATGGGGACGTTCGGGAGGTTTCAGAGAATATAAAGGTGGATAAGTCTCTGGGACCTGATCTATCCAGAATCATGTGGGAAGTAAGGGAGGAAATTGCGAGACACCTTGCAGAAATATTTGCATCATCTATAACTACGGGTGAGGTTCCTGATGACTGGCTAATGTTGTACCTTTGTTTAAGAAAGGTTATAATGAGAAACTGGGGAACTATAGACCTATAAGTCTGACTTCAGTTGTGGGTAAATTGTTGGAGGCGATTATAAAAGATTGGATTTACGGATATTTGGAGAGGCAAAAATTGATTAGGGACAGTCAGCATTGTTTTGTTCAAAGGAAAATTGTGTCTCTCAAACTTGATTGAGCTTTTTGAGGAAGTTACCATAAGGGTTGATGATGGCAGAGCAGTAGAAATTCTTTATTTGGATTTTAGTAAAGCAGTTGACAAGGTTCTGCATTTTTTTTTCTTTATTCATTCAGGGGATGAGGGTGTCGCTGGCTAGGCCAATATTTATTGCCCATCCCTAATTGCCCAGAGAGCAGTTATGAGTCAACCACATTGCTGTGGGTCTGGGGTCACATGTAGGCCAGACCAGGTAAGGATGGCAGTTTCCTTCCCTAATGGACATTAGTGAACCAGATGGTTTTTTTCCAACAATCGGCAATGGATTCATGGTCATCATTAGATGATGGTAGACTAATTAGTAAGGTTAGGTCACATGGAATTCAGAGTGAGCTTGCCAATTGGATAAATAATTGGCTTAATGGCAGGAGGCAGAGAGTAATGGTCGAGGGTTACTTTTCTGACTGGAGGCCTGTCACCAGAAGTGTTCCACAAGGATTGGTTCTGGGTCCTCTTTTGGTTGTTATTTATGTAAATGATTTGGATGAGACTATTGAAGGCCTGGTTAGTAAGTTTGTGGATATCAGCGCATTTGTTGGTTTAGTAGACAGTGAAGAAGATTTTCTAAGATTACAAAGGGATCTTGATCAAATGGGTCAATGGGCTGAAAAATGGCAGATGGAGTTCAATCTGGATAAATGTGAGGTTTGCATTTTGGTACAACAAACAAGAACAGGGCTTATACAATTAATGGCAGGGCCTTGGGTAGTTTTGTAGAACAGAGGGACCTAGGGGTGCAGGTACATAATTCTTTAAAGTTTGCATCACATATAGACAGGACGGTTAAAAGGGCGTTTGGCACACTTACCTTCAGTGCTCAGTCCTTTTGAATATAGAAGTTGAGAAGTCATGAAGAGGTTGTACAGGACATTGGTGATGCCTCTTCTGTTTGGTTCTGTGGAACATTATCTCTGTCATACCCCCTCTGAAATCACTCAGGCTAACTATCCGCCTGCGAACCTGGGAGGTCTCCTGACAGTGCTGTATTAACTGTGCTTCATATTATCACTGTTTGATGCCCCACTTTCACTTTATTGGGCCCTCTATTATTTCTGTATGAGATGTACTGTATAGACACAAGTTATAGGATCTCACCACTAACAGCCCCTTTTAACGTGCGTCCAGATATCTGAAGATCTGGTTGTCAGTTTGGCTCAGTCTCATTGTTTTTCTTGCCTCTGAAACTATCTTGTGTGTTCAAATTCTGTTCAAGAACTAGAGTAGCCTGTGTAGAAACTGTGTTTACACCTTCCTGATCTCTGCAACCTCTTGCAGGTCTAAAATCAGTCAGTGAAAGCCCAATAATAAGATAAAAATCAGAAACCAGCACAGAGAATGCTGGAGAAACTCAGCAGATCTGGCAGCATCTATGGAGAGAGAAACAGAGTTAACGTTTTGAGTCTGGTATGGCACTTGTTCTAAAAGCCTGGTGTCCAGTTTTACATTTACACTGATAACAGCCAGCTCAACCCCAGCACCAGCTCTCCCAAATCCTCCACTGTTGCTAAACTTTCCAACTACTTATCCCATGTCAGTGTTGGAGGAGCAGAAATTTC